GTATTACTACTACTACTAGTACTACTACTAGTATTACTACTACTACTACTACTATATTACTACTACTACTACTAGTATTACTACTACTACTACTACTACTAGTATTACTACTACTACTACTACCACTACTACTACTACTACTAGTACTACCACTACTACTACTACTACTACTAGTATTACTAGTACTACCACTACTACTACTACTAGTGCTAGTACTACCACTACTACTACTAGTAGTACTTCTAACTACTATTACTACTACTAGTAGTAGTACTACTATTGGTAGTAATAGTGGTAATATTATTGGTAGTAGTAGTAGTAGTAATAGTACTAGTAGTAGTAGTAGTAGTAATACTAGTAGTAGTAGTAGTAGTAATACTAGTAGTAGTAGTAGTTAGTAGTAGTTACTACTACTGTTACTACTACTACTACTACTACTACTACTACTAATAATCATAATATTACCACTACTAATAATAATATTACTACTACTAATATTACTATTAGTACTAGTATTACTATGAGGCGATCTGGAGAAGAAAGTGGCGGTGCCGGAGCGTACGAGAAAGGACCGTGGATAGCGGATTGGGAGTAGCTGCCGGGTGTAGTTGCTGGAGGGCCAGAGGGGATAAGGGGCGAAAGCAAGGAAAAATCGGGGATATTTTCTCGGGACGGATGGATACTTGGATGGTCTATTCGTGGGCTGTTCGAAGGAGCGAACACACGAAGGAAGACAAGGCTAAACGCCGACTCCGAGAGCGGCGGGTGCTGCTGTATCCTAGAAGCAGGCGCAGAAGCAGCAGTGGGTATTCGGTGGCAATGAGAGCGATGAAGACTAAGAAACGAACGCACACAACAATACAAAACTACGCCACCAAAAAGTACTGCTCGCATTTAAGCGGTCAGACTGGGTTCCTTTTACTTATAGTAGTTATATCTATTTTAGATGATAGATCTGGTTCTCATTTAAGCCCAAAAAAGCAGTATTTTAAGATGTATGCGAGTCGAGAATTCCGAGAATGACTAACGTCAGATTTTGCTCTGCACAACGATATACGACATATCGTAAGGACAGCTTTAAGCTTGAAGATTAGCCATTAAAGTACCTCTTTGACCAGACTAAAATGCCTAATACATGCTCAGATAAGACATACATATGTATATTCATATCGGCTACGCAACAGTTGTTTATAAGATGACGCCAGATTATCGACAAAGGTTAGAGTATCGCCATTAATACACAGATTAGTTAACCTGGCTAACAACAAAAACAACAACAGTGAATCTGGCCACCGAAGTGGTGGCACTATTAAGTTCTAGCAATATGCAGACGGATGGACGGACATACAGCCATCGCGAGTAAAAGTTACAAAAATGAGAAAAAAACAGTAAATAGTGGGCTGTTGAGTTTCAGTCATTGAGTGAAAGTGAGTGTTACTACGAAGGCCTACGGAAGTTGTGTTGCTCACCGCAGCCGTCATCGTCCGCGTCATTCATGTTGGTGTCCTTTCAAGAGGTGTAGCTACTGTTATAGACGCTACTATTGCGGATACTTTCAACGCAGCAGCGGCCGCTGCTGTTGTCTGCGCCGGTCAGCAGCCTCCAGTCTCCGACCGCGCCTGTATGCGCGTCTTGGTATCATCTATTACGACTATCACATTGCCGCTGCGACTCATTCGTTAATCCTCCCCCTGTAGTGAGCCTGTTTCTGTATATACGAGAGAGCGATTTTGTCTTGCTATGGAAGACGACAGTCGGTGCCTGTGTGTGTCTATTTGTTTGTCTATCTGTCTGTTTGTATATCTCTGTGTGTATGTTCTTGTGAATCGATGCGTGTGTGTAGTTTGACTGGAAAGATGGGTTACCGCTGATGCTGCTGCTGCTGTTATGCTGCTAATACTATCCTAGGTAATGGCAATAATAGCAGTTGTCGGTGAAGAATATCACATTGAAAGGGAAAACGATTGCTACAGCTATAAAGCTGGATTATGGATACTGGAGGATGCGCAGCCCTAGAATTTACGCAGAAAGAGAACTTCTGTGGAGATGACTATTGAACATCGTAGGGTCGATGAATATATGGTAATTGTTTTCGTTGATTCGAATAATAGAATTGATTGTGCATTACCAGCGGTGGTCATAACGGAGCGACGGTTAGAACAAGTAACATGTCCAATAGAAAGGAACAGTACCAGATCTAAGATTGGTCGGTATCCAATGAGAAAGCACAACGGTGTTACTTACCTTCCAGGTGAATGCTGGGCCTGATTCTTCATAAAGTACTCGGAGATTTTCTTATCCGACTGCTGCTGCTGCTGCAGCTGCTGTTGTGGCGGCGGTTGCTGCTGTGCAGTTGTCTGCTGTTGCGAATTCTGCTGTTGACTGGATTGCTGGGAGCTGTTGGTGTTGGTCAGCTGGAGGTTTCGTTTGGGTGTAGGTTCCTGGCTCGATTCCTTGGCATTGTTACCACTGGCGCTAGTCGTCGTTTGGCGTTTTCGTTTGCGCTCCTGTGGTGGGGTGCGCATTACCTGCTGCAGTTCGCCGTCGGACGGTTGCGAGCCGACGGACGTCGAGCTCAGGTTCGAGTCCTGGTTGCTGGCCTGCGGATTGAAGCCGGCGTTGCCGGGTGGCCCGAGTCCGGCAAAACCTCTGGCCCCCAGAAAGCGGGCCTCCAGCAACTCCTGCTTGCGGGGGTCCATCAGCTGGTTCAGGTTCTCCATCCCTTCGCGGGCTACACTGAGACACCGTACATCGTGCTGGCACGGCGGCGGGCCCAAGGGGCTCGCGGATCGAGCTGCACGAACTGCCGCTCGAAGGAAAGATCCTCTGCTACCTGCTGATGCTGACGATGACCCCGACGATCCTGACGATCGAGAAACCGCAAGGGCCAACAACGACTCCTGATTCCGCTCCTGAGCGTCCTGTCGCTGTTGCTGGTGCTCCAGTTGAGAATACTTCGAATATGACTGCTGGCGCCGCTGCCTCTTTTGTTTCGGCTGTTCGAGCTTGTCGTCTTGACGTTGTTGCTGCTGTAATGATCCTTCTCCGGAGCCCGGTAGCCTAGTGCAGGATAAAGGATTACGGGGCCCCGAACCCGAGCACCCGGTCGATCCGGAATCCCCCGGCGACCAGTGCGACGGGGTGACGACTAGATGCTCAAACGAAGCCAGCGGCACGCGCGAGGCTGATCACTGCAGTAACAATAGACACTCACACACAGCGACGAAATTAATATGCCTCAGGATTACTTTTACTACAACGACTACCACCAGCAGTAGTGGAACTGCTAACCTACTACGGTAGAATCGATGATTTTGTTAATAATGAGTGGTAAACGCGTCTGACAATAGCTGGAAACGATGGTCAGATCAATGACTGGATGCTTAGAGGGGAATAATAACAATGAAACGGCTCTATCAGAGAACCATGACACACAAGCTCTCTGCCCCTCACAAATAGCAGGCGGACCTTCCGATATAGTGAGAAGATATTGGGTACAGATGCTATTTTACCAGTGCACCAGGTCGTCGAAAAGACTGATTTAGTTGGGAGAAACGCACGCCAACAAACACAGCAGCCAATCCTTGCTGGCGATGATTCCACGACACGCATATAATTTAAATAGATCAATAATTACCGTGCCGACTTATTCTACCGTTAGAAAATTGCACGCTCAGCGCTACTCGTCGTGGTTGATGCAGCAGATGTCGCTGAACATAGATACAGGTCGTAGCAATATCTGTGTTAGTACAGACACTCAATCCACCCTTTTGCTCCACAATGCAATTGCTGCTGCTGTTGTTGTTGTTGCCGCTCTTAATAACGAAAATTCAACATCCAACTGCTTCGACACTTGACAACTACGCCATGCAGCGCATCACAATGAATAAACGAGTGAATCAACTAACCAACGAACGAACGCCCGAACAAGCGAGTAAACGTTGCCCTCAGTTTTCTTGTTTATTGTTGATTGCGCTTACTTGCTTTCCTTTTTTATTGGTATAGTCGCTTTGCTAATAACTGCTGCTGCTACTTGGGCTTGCGATTGACCAGTGTTGTTGCCCGTTGTTGTTGTTGTGGCAGTAGTATTAGCGGCGGCTAGACCCAACTACCTCGATCTATTACTCTCATAGGTGTTTCTATCGCTGCTTGCGTTGCTATTGATGCATTTGTCGTATCGCAGTATACCTATTTATTGTTGGTGCTAGTACAGAACAGATAGGCAGAATGGCCGGAACACTGACAAACGACAGTTTTTGCTGGTTGGCTTTTACAGAAGCAGCCGATATCGATACCAAGCACGGAGCCCAGCACAGTACGAGGCACACAGAGGCAATTCGCGGTCGAACCAGCTAGCTAGCTAGTTAGTCAGTCAGCCACCCAGCAAGCGACAAAGGGAACTCGCTAAGTAACCGAGGGGTTGCGTTTGAATCTTGATTTACCTGTATCCGTCTGTATTGTGTATGTACGACATATAAATCCCCTCGAATCGAATTTTTCGTTTTTTATGCAGCCTTTCCCCGCCACTGAAATTGTTGTTGAGGTTGCAGCTGTAGCAGCTCGACTCACTCGATTCGCTCAAACGACAAATGCGTCGATGGCTGCGATCGACGATGACTCGTAATTTGTAGCTGCCGCCGCCGTCGCCAGTCCTCTATTCTCGACTGTCGTTGTCTCGCAATCAACAACAGCGACTGGGCAATG